GTTTGAGAGGGCTATTAAAAAGCATAGAAAAAATTCTTACCAGGTTGTGGTTACATCACTAAATAAAAAAATGTTCAGTATTAAAAATAAATAAAAACTACAGATAACTTAAAAAAAATGTGGTTTAAATAAAAGCAAAGAGTAAAGTATATGGAAAGCAGATAAACAAAAAAACTTAACAAATAAATAAAAAAGAAATCGGCGACTTAATATACAAATAAAGACTACTAAAATCAAATTACTGAACAAATAAAAATAAAATAAAAGCGACTTACTAAATTAAGTCATTATCGACTTACTATATTAAGTCATCATCTGAAGCTTCTAAAAATTTAAAAAGAGGTCAATAAACAATTTCAAAATAAATTAACTAAAGAGAAAATAAAAAACAAATGCTACCTGACATGATTTTGACATGAAATTTATAAAATCTAAAAAAAATATCAAACAATGTAATAGTCTAACAAAAATAATATGATATTACTATCAATGTAATAAATCTAAATCCAAAAGTCAAGGATTAAAAAGATGTAAGAAAAAATTTGTAAAAAATTCTTTTTTTAAGCCTTAAATTTTATCTTTTTTTAAGCATTTAACTAAGCCTCGTGGTGGATTACAACTGCGTGGAAGTAAAACTCGATTGGCATTTTGTTTAAAAAACCTCGGTTGGCACTCGGTTGGTTGCATCCAACCTGATACTAATGACTGAGATTTCTTCTGGTTAACAACGGTTAACTGACGGAGACATGCAGTGACTGCGAAGGTTTTTTAACTAACAAAAAAATAATGGAAGATAGGATCTAATAAACAGATAACGCACACTCTGTACCAACACAATGTTATACCCTTACATTAAAATAAATTTTAATCTTTTTAAAATCTTTTTACCTAACTCGAAGCTAGAGGTCTAGGTTAGTATAAATTATTTACTTTTTAAAATTGAATGCTATTTTTTGGGATTTGATATGTATGTTCTAAATTATAAACACGTGTTCCTAATTCCGAACAAAAACTGTACTTTAATGTACAAAAAACTGTACCATGGCGATATTTATCATATACAAAAAAAGCTGAATTTCTGTTTTTGTTTGTTTGATCAACAAAGTTTTTTTTCAAAGAGACTTGGAATATGTCAAAAAAATTGGAAACTAAGTGTTTAAGGACTTCAACAAAAAACAAAATTTTGAAATTTGTAAACTATTTTTTTCTCTCGTTAGCGAAGTCAGTTCTGTGTCAAAGTGCTAGGTGTGGATCAAACTTTTGATTAATGTCTTTACATATGTAGTCTAAATACAATATCTTTAAAACTTTATAAGTATTTGAATTTGCATTTAAAAAAATTTTAAAAAATAGTCGCCAATGGTAGGACGCGAACCACGGCTATCTTGTTCTGAAGCCCAGCGCACTAACCACTCAACTATGCTGACACGTTGAGCGTCAAAGATTTGAAATTATATAAAAATTGTTTTTAACGGATATAGATGCAAAAGATCAGAAATTAAGAAGAGGTTGACGAAATGCAGTTCTTAAGTGAAAATCAAACTGTAGAACTTGATATATGTTTGAAAAGTTATAAAAGTTTTTGTGATGCCCCTTTGGTGAATGTTTTCACACAAAAAACAAGAAGCCATATGTCTATATTGAAACAGCCCTGGTATGCAACTGTATTATTCTTATATTTGAATGTTTTATCATTGTTTTTTAATTCAAATAAAGTATTTTCTTTGGTAAATAGTGGGAGAAGATAACTATCCAAATCAGAGACACAGCCTTTCAGTCCAGGTTCTTCAGCGTTTTGTCTTTTTTCAACAACTCTGTAATTATTAATTTTTTTTAAGAATAAATTTTACTACAAAAATTGCATTATTTCATTGTGCAGAATTAAATTGGTATTAGTATTGTGATTTTACTTTATCGTATTTGCAAGTTTTATCCTTTGATGATTACTTAAGAAAAGAGAATTCTTAATACAAAGAAGATTCTTATGAGTAAAATTGGTTGTTTTTGTAGTATTCCCAGTATTTGTGTTTGTAGTATTCCCAGATCCAATAAATAATTTTAGTTTACTACCTCCTGTTTTCAATGAAATGGTGTCACCACTTTCACTCCTAAATAATGGGAGAAGCCATTTGTTCCCTAACATCTAAATAAGTTACAAAACTATGGAGACTGATGGAAAAATGTTTTTGACAACTTAATATTTTTGAAAAGGTTACAGGTTCAAAAGGTTACAAAGGTTTTTTCAAATTAAAATCATTATTTTAAGATGTATTAGGAAAGGGAAGCTCTTTACATTTCTTTCTCTCATCTCTCTATTAGTAACACAAATTAATAACGCTTTTCTAATATCTTGATATCCTGATGCAGCTGATATGTTATTTCTAAATAAGTAAATTTACATAAAACTTGTTTTCTATAGAATATGTTAAACAACCTTTCACAGCCAAATAGTCAAAGTTATGAATACATTTTCTACCTGACCGTTGTTGCGTTACATTTATGATGAAATCCTCTTTTAACTTTACTCAGGCAAGAAATACACCGCAGACTAACAACTGAAGTTTTAGAACTCTTAATACCAGATTTTTTTTTGGGTATCCTATCCCTGCTATCTTGCAATTTTTGCATATTTCACCAAATTTTTTATTTACCTGAAATTATTAAGATTTTTATAATTTTATATTTCTTTACAACAGATGTAAAAATAATAACATTTTATATGTTTCTTATTTTAGCTGAAATAGTCATCTTTAACCATTCAATGCCAAACTTTCTATATAATTTTCTACCTAAGGTCAACACATCTGTTCTTTTAACTTTATCCCTACACTTTTAATAGATTAAGATATGGTATCATGCAAAGTATGGTTTGATTCATTTATCAAATCTTATTTCTTTGAGTTAAACAATTTTTTTAAGTCTTGCACATTTAAAAGTTGGGCCCACCCCACAGTAGCTTATCCAAAAGCATCTTTTGTGTGAAATTGCCAATGAAATTATTAGATAATGTTTTGTTATCAAATTTTTCAGTTATGTGAATGGTTTTACGTTTATGACACATTAACTTTTTATATATATTTATTTAGTTAAAAATCATTAAGTATACCAACCTCGGACACAATCTGGTAGGATATCGGTTATCAGCAATGTAATCCCGATAAATAGCTTTAAAATTTGTAAATTATGTGGCTTTGGCTGTTCATTTTCATCTGAAATTTGCGATCATAGAAAAGGCATACTTTTTCTCTGTTCTTTTGATGATTTAAAATAGTCTGAGAATAGAATTTCCCAATGCTTAGCATTTTTTTTAAATAAAATTTATTCTATGATTGTCTTTTGCGATTAAATCTGTGGCAAAAAACATTGTGGATTAATGATGGTGGTAAAAGTTCAAAAATGTGCGAAAAAAATCTTGAAACTGTCATAATTATATAATAGGAGTTTTTTGATTTTGTGGATTATATACATAGTGATAATAAACTAGTCTTTCAGAAACCATCGACCTTGGCTTTTCACTAATTTCACAATTCAAAAAACATAAATTTAGTAAAGGCTAACCGTGTTAGTATACTTGTAGCATATTTTTGAAACAAAGCAACAAATATACTGACGACAAAACTAATAATTGTATTAAAACATTATGTGTCATTATCTCTTGTTGCGATAAATGCTGAAAGTCTTTTTAATGCTGTTATTCATTTGTTTAACATAGTTGCAATTTCTGTAAGTATTCTAGTTTCCAATTTATCAGATTCTACCAATTATATGAGAGGAAAAATCAGTGGGTTTGAAAAAAAAAAGCTGCTCCTCACTTATTTGATATTAAAAGTGTCATTTGTCATGTGCACAATGTTTGTCATGTACACAATGTTGTCAAAAAATCTACTTCATTATTTGGCAAGGTATTTTATAATTTACTGAATAATATCTATATTGATTTTAGGTTTAGCCCAGATCTTTGTACATTTCTGAAATTTTTTTGTCAAATCACAGGTGTCACATACAACATTCCAAAGCAAAGGGTTTCTTATAAGTGTTTGTTTGTTTTGGATTAATTTCTAAGAATTGATGTTGAACAGAAGCTTGAGTTGATGCTTGCTTTCACCTTAATTTATTCTCCCTTGTTATCAAAACATCTCAAATTTTAATTATTAACTTTTTACAGTTTAAATTCTTATACAAATTACTAAAAAATATTTTTGTTTACTTTTCTTTTAATTTTATTTGGGTTCTTATATAATATAATTAAAGCAATATAATTAAAAGGGATACAACCAAAATAAACAATTTTGATTTAAGTTTTAAAAATATTTATTCAAGCTCATGATTAGATGTTTGACCATGATCTTCATTATTTTACTGAAATTAAAGTTTTGTAAATCGTTGCAAAGTTATAAATCATTACAAAGTTTTGTAAATCATTACAAAGTTTTGTAAATCGTTGCAATTTAATCATATTGCTGTAAAATCATTGCAATTACTTGTATTGCTGTGAAATAAACGATTCTCTTGATCAAAATAATATAATGCAATTTGCATCAAATTTTAAAAAACTTGCAATTTTTTTAAATATAATTTGTTTGGTAAAGTTTAGACAAAATATTTTTTATTAATTTTAAACTGCCATTGAAATATCATTAGCAAGAAAATAACTTAATGTAGCAAAGCATTTTTATATGTGGTAAAATTGCTTGCAATTTTTTACTTAGCTTTACTAGGCATTTCTGATGCTAATGAAGAAGTTTTAATGGTTGAAATTTTAACCAAATGAAAAAGTATTGTTTTAAGTTGCCCACCTTTAAATGAAAGTTTTGAGATCCTTTTTTATGTAAAGGCATAATTTAAAAAAGTAAACACAAAAAAAATTTATTATATCTCAAAAAAATTCTATACAATTTATATTCTTATATGGAACACCTAAATATGTATATATAGAAATGTTTAATTTTTTGTTTACTTTTTTCTGAATTTTTCTAGAGCTCATTAAAATAATATTTTAGGCATTAAAGAACACGACAGCGAAGGGCGATTAATAACAGCAGAATTTGAAAAATATTATATAATAACAACCTGTAAGTAAACTACTTTTGTTTTTTTAATAAAAATTTGTTACTTTCAACACATTTAGTTTCAAAATGTTTTTTAAAGCATTTGTTGGATTAATTCTGTTTATGTAATTATGCTTGTTAAATGTGTTTTGGATAATAAACTGGTCAATTCATGCTAAATAAAAAACCTTTCAAAAATGTTAGGGTAACAGGGTAATGCTGGATCAGTAACTACTTAATAATTGGTGGGCAAGTAACTACTTAGCTTTGAGTTTTTATTGTGATATAATTCAGGTGAAAAGAAAAATTGAATATTTCTAATGTTTTTCAATTTTTATATTTACAAATAATAATTAATTTAAATTATTAAATTATTAAAAAAAATTTAATAATTCATTTATTAATCTAAACTTTAATTTAAAGAATTCTTTCTATATTTTTTTAATTTATAGATGTGCCTAACTCTGGTCAAAAGCTAATAAGGTATTACATTTTTCATTACAAAGTATATTGTCAAAACAAAGTTGAATTTATTACCTTTTACTAACTTTAGGTTAGATGACCATTACTAACTTGCTTTTAGGTTAGATTACAGAAGAATATGGAATACAGATTATAAAAACTATGTAGGAGAGCTTAAAAAAAAAAAACCTGTTATAATGTGTGGAGATTTCAATGTTGCTCATACAGAAATAGGTAAAAAGAAATTCTTTTAGTTAAAATTAGTTTTGTGTTTTCAGCTTAACATTCTGTTTGTTTGTAAAGTTATATTTTTGTAAAGTTATATTTTTGTATATAATACATAAAAGTAAAAAGTATAAGCCTCGAAAGTCTTTGTGCTCTCACAACACTATTGAACATGGTTTTAATATAAATAAGCAACTTTTGGACAAAAACATAAACAAGTTGAACATGAACCAGAACAGATACATATTGATGAGTTAGATTTGATTAAAAAATAGCTGAAAAAAGTAATGCCCACGAATATCCTAATAAAGCCCTCAAATATTTTATGCAAATATCCTGGAAAAAATAAGATAATGTCCTTGAGAGTTTTGGAATTTGATTTTCTATGCCATGATTGTTTAATTATATATGTAGCTTTAAAATAAACATGAGTGACCATTTCATTAAAAAGTCAACCTTGGGATGAATATTCCCAATTTCAGACCAAGATTTAATAGATAGAGGTATCTTTGATGCTTTAGATTTAACTTAAATTATTGTGTTAAGAATATCTGTCTTTGCATAGCATAGAAATTATCATTTAAATATATCATTTAAACAATTTTAAACTGTTAATCTTTTGCATAATATATATAAATAATATAAATATCCATAAAACATTTATAATTGAACTTTGGCCGATATTAATCATTAATCTTATCTTAACAAACCTTCTTTTACTTAATTTAGAACAAAAAAACATTTATTTAAAAAAAAAAATCATCTTGAAAGTTCAAATAATAATAATAAATCAATTGAAAAAAACAAAAAATTAAAAAGTATCAAGTTAACTGTATGTTACATACTAAGAAGAAAAAATGTTAATTATATCAAACACTTCACAGTAAATGCATTCCCAAGTTGGTAGTACTTTACAAATTAGTAGTGACTTAATTTCGCGTTCCATGGCTTAATGTACGCAACATCACCATGTTGATATTTATCATTTTGTTAGTTTTGTGGACTCATTATTTCTTGATGACTCCACAAAATCAAATCAAATCAAATATATTTTGAAATAAGTCATAGCGTTTCAAGGAACAAATAATTAAAAAGCTTGATTTTGAATCCAGAGATTAAATTAAGAGATTTTAGATCAAGAGGTAGTTTGTTCCATGAGCTAATACATTGATATTTGATGGGTTTATTTCTATATTTAGCAGAATGGTATTTTTGAATAAGTAAGTTTAAGCTACTGATGGAGCGAAGAAGATAGTGGCAATTTGTACTTGTAAAGAAATTGTTGAATGGTAGGGAAAGGTTTTTGTGATGATAGTTCCAGACAAATTGGCAGTTAACAAATACCACAAGGTTGCTTATTTTTAATATATTGGAGATTAGGTTTAGCACATTAGATTTAAAGTTATTATACTGAAAATATATAATTTTTAAGGCTTTATTTTGGAAATGGGACAACCTTAAAATGATTTGTTTATGGGATTGTCCCCATATTTGACATGCATATCCTTGATGGGGTCCAAAAATAGCATGATATATATTAAGCAGAGTTTCTAGATTTGCATAATGGCGGACTTTGGCTAGCATTCCATTAGATCTGCTGAGTTTCATGGCTAAGTCATTTAGATGGCCTTGAAAAGAAAGATCAGAATCAGTATCAATATTAAACCCAAAATATTTAATAGAATCTATAAGACATACAAATAAATGCGACTACGGTTTATGCCAAATACATGAAAATTTATTACTCAATTTAGAGGCAAGAGTAGGTTAATTCATAGTTTTTAGTGAGAAGCATTATATGTGATACCTCGCCCTATAGTGCATGCCTAGTACAACATATGTAGATAGTGCAAATTTCCAAAAAAACCTTGAATGCAATTAAGACTTAGTTATGTTGTAATTGCATTCATAAAATTGTTAAAGTACCAAAGTTGTTGATGTGCTAAACTAATTAAAAAAAAGGCTAATACCACTAGAAAATACTTACAAAAAAGGTTCTATTATCATTAAGAAGGTAAGAATTGGCAAGTTGGTTAAAAATTTCAGGAAACGTTAAAAAAAGTGAAAGAGCATCTAAATATAATACAAATAAGCACAATTGAATTTGAAACTTGAAAAAGAAAAATTGGTTGTCAAGTCTGTGAGGGTGTTACAAATTGACTACCCCATGGCATAGCAATGTTGGTCAGAAAAAGAAAATTATGGGTGCTCTATGGACTCTAGGGTGTACTAAAAAAAAAATACCTCTTAATTTTTTCCCATTCTCTAAAATCCAAACAGACTAAAAAGACCAAAAGCACATTTTTTATTTGTGTAAAAGTGATATCTGTTATACTTTATTTTTTAAAAATAAATGCATTTAAAGGAAAAAAAACACGGATTTTAAAATTTTTCTTAATAATATATACTTCCAGTTAAAAAAGTTAAACAATTTTAATGTGCTCCTTTAATATCGCTAATAGCCATTAGCTTTAATTTACCAATATGAATATGCTCAGAAACATCACACTTTACCAACTTCTCAAATATTTTCTTTACCTCCTGTTGAACATCATAGTTGGCTAGAACCAGTATAACTATTTTTTTAATAAATGCCAAATATGGTGCTGCATGGTGACAAAAAGGACCTTTTTTGGGCATTGTTCCCTTATTTCAAATAATGGTTTAAAAGCAGCCAAATCCTTTGAAGTCAACTTGTTCAGTATATAGGATTTTGAAAAAACATGGCTCAAAGTATATAGAAATAAATAATGATGCCATCTTTATTATCTTCTTCTTTTCTTTATTCATTACTCCTGCTAAAATTATAAGATTTAGCAAGGGTTGATACCCGGGTCTAGAGAAAAACTATTAATACTTTATATATCATTATTTTATACTTATATTTACTATTTATTAACTACTGGTATATATTTATATATTTTTAAACTCTAATTTAATTCCAATATGGTTGCAAGCAAGCACTGTTAAGTTATAAGTTACTCTTTAAAATAGAAGATAGGGTTAAAAAGCTAGGAGGCGGTTAACTGAAGACTTTAAAAGTTGTAGGTTGTATAAAAAAAGGAAAACATGAAGGTGGGTAAAAGTTATTAGGTTTTTTCGACACGCAAGGAAAAAAACTAAATTTATTAAAAGTTTTTATAGCATGAAGGGACAAATACATTAAAAGGATACAACTTGTGGAATAAAAAGCTAAGCAACTATGAGATTTGGTTTATCATAATAGAAATGATAGCTCGTTTGAGCATTAACCATCATAATATTTGTAGAAAAAAGAAAAAAATACAACCTTACAACAATGGAAGAATGGCTCAAGCCTGGTAGATTAAGCAGGTCTAGTTACATTTTCAATGTGCTTTTAGACTTTGTCTGAGAGTACGAGGGTTGTTGTTTGTCATATATAGGAATGCCAACAATTTTGCTATATTTTTTGCTGTAAGTAAATAAGTTTTATTGTCTAACAAATATTATGGATTTTGAATCCAGACTTAAAATCCACAAGCCACTGCAAGCCTTAGGCTGTTACAGAAGAGAGGTCAGATTATAAATCGGTTGCTTGTACTGAGCAATCAAAAAGTGAAGACTTTTTGTCAAGACAAGAGTATAAAGTTGAATCGTCAGCAAATAGAGCCACTTAAGATGTAAAATCTTTATGAAAATCATTATTGTAGATATATACAATACAGGAGCAAAGGTAGAACCTTTTGATACCCTTAAAGTTACTCGAAATGCAGAGTGTAGGCCTTCAAGAATAACTTTAATACGGTGGTTTGAAAGAAATGATTTAATAATCTCAAAAACTTTGAGATTATTAAATAATTTCTTTGTATAAAAAAACTAATAACAGATTGAAGACTAATCGTAGAATAGTTGAAGAGGTCAAGGTGTTTTCTAGAGTTTTTCAAAGTTGAAACCACTTATTTAGCACTTTTTAATAGTTTAGAAAAAATTGAAGAGAGTTCTAGAGAACACTTTTTTAAGGCTATGATGGAAGCTTGTCGGAAGCAAAAACTTTAGAAGTATTTATTGAGAATTGACTTTAGTATTGGAAGCCAGAGTGATTTGGATGTTTAACAATGGATTAATCTGTTTAACTGGCATGGCAGGAAGAATATGGCTTTTAGATTCAAGAGTCAAGTTAGAGGAAAAGTTCTTTCCAAATAACTCTGCTTTATTCTAGGGAGAAGTAAAAAGATCAGACCCATGAATTAGAGATTAAATGTTAGACTTACTTTAGTTGATGACACTGTTAAAGTCTCTAGTACCTATTATCTTAGATAAGATTCAAAATTTAGTAAACTGTAAATAATAGAGGTTAACATCAGACAGGACCTTTTTACATTGATCTTGAAATTATAAAAGGACATTTTTCCTTAATAGAGATGTTTTTGTAAAAAAGATGAAAAAAATGATTATAGTTTGATAAAGCAACTGCTCAAGATGGTGAAAACTGTGCAGTAGAATAAGGCTTGACTTAAAATTGAAGAGAAAAGTTTCCAAGCTTTTATTCCAGAAGAAATAAAATCTTCCAAGTTTATGCATACATAATATGATATAAACATATATGTTGACATGTTTATTTAGGTGTTGGCATACAATATCCTTACATATTTATAAAAAATTTAGTATATATATTGTGCAGTATTTGCCCAAAGAGATGATGATCAGATGGATGTGTTGTGTGACAAAGATTAAAGTGATTTAGGTATCAGAATGTAGAGAAGTTGCAGCTTCAGTTAAAAATGGTAGTGGTAGAAGAGTGCCCTATACATATTGTATGAATGAGCTTTAGTTAAGAAAAGAAAATGCTCTAGATTGTTTATATTAGAGAAACAGTATTTAAGAGGAAAATTATTTAAGAGCCTGATAATAATGATGATGGTAGTGATAATGATTATAATGATCATGTTGATGATAATAATGTTTATATGTATATACAAAGTATAACATAAATTTTGAATTAAAAAAAACCTTTAGGATGTATATATGTGTATGCAGCCCTGGTCACAAACCTAACCCTGGCGACAGTTATATTTTATCCAACTGACCCTTGAGAGTGGCTGTTGATAAGGCTTTCCAAACTATGTGGTAGCTCTCGGAGAGGCTGATACTATCAACAACTGCAATTATCGTAGTATTAACAGTGCAATGTTGCGCATGGATGGTGTCTTTATTATTGCTTTTAGTGTGCATTGTCAAGGCTACATAAGGAGCTCTATAATACATAAGGAGCCCTATGTTACGATTTTTGACAATTGCATAGCTCAATTAGCTCAATCAGAGACAATTGTATAGCTCATTGCTTAGGAGACTGTGCTATATCTATGAATGAAATGTTGCAACGAACTATTGCAATACTGTTAACATTTATTTATTAAGAATGGCAACCCACTTGCTAAATTCTCTTTACGTCTTCTTGGATTATTGTTAATTTATTATTTTATATCGACCTTTCATGTAAACCATATATACAATCGATTGTTAAATTAGCATCCGCTAAGGTTGCTTTACTTTATTGTGCCATTTTCTCTCTTCTTATTATATTCTCTACCTCTTATTGTCCTTGTATAGAATACTGTTGTCATATTTGGACTGGTTCCTCTAATGATGCTCTTTTTCTTCTAAACAAGATTTAAAAACGGATTGAAAATGTTGTTGGACCCGCTCTATCTGCTAAGTCTGAGCCTCTTTCCCTTTGTCAAAAAGTTGCGTCTCTTTCTCTTTTCTACAAATACAATCATGATCTCTACTCAAAGTAGCTATTATCTCTAGTTCAATCAACCAAAACTTATTTTTGCTTCACTTGTTATCCAGCAAAGTCTAATTCGTTTACTGTATCTGTCTCTGCATGCTTTAAAAACTTTTATTTGTTTAGTTTTTTTCCTGCATTCAACCCTTTGGAACTCTCTCCCTTTTTCATGTTTTCCTGACACATACAACCTACATCTTTTCATGTCTTCTCACAGTGTTATAAAACAGGTTCTAACCTTAACTTTCTGACCCAGGAAAACCCTTTAGTGGAATGATAGCCCACATTATGGGGATCACTTAGATACAAGAATCGAAATCAGATAACAACGTCCTATCAAGTTATTTACATTTATATTTTCATCCCAGTAAACAAAAAAAAACGTATTTTTAACGTTTACAGGTTTAAAACATGCAAAATGACAGCTTATTTTGCATTAACTTTTTTTCCTGCAACTATAGTTTCAAAATATAGTTTTTTTTCTAGTTTTGCATGAAAAAATTTCTTTTTTATTTTGTAAAAGATATTGCGAATCCAAATTCCAATAAACGTAACGCCGGTTTCACGGAAGAAGAGCGTAGTGATTTCACTGCACTTTTGGAAGATGGCTACATCGACACATTCAGAAAACTTAATCCGGAAAAAACAGGCGCATATACATTTTGGACTTACATGATGAACGCTAGGAGTAAAAACAAGGGATGGTAAGTCGGTTATTGATTACCAAATATATATTTTTTTCTAATATTTAAAGCGTTTGAAGCGTTTTATTTAATTTTAAGCTAGATTAAGCAGCATTTTAAAAACTTTTATTTCAGGCGACTAGATTATTTCATCGTCACTAAGGATATAGAAGACGACATATGTGACAGTGTCATTCGATCTTCAGTAATGGGTAGCGATCATTGTCCTATTGTTCTGAACTTGGCTATTTAGCTTCCACATTTTCTTACTATGCATAGTTGCATTCAAAACAGATTTATTTAGTTCTAAAAAAAAAGTAACTTACACATTTATTAATTACCGTTATAAAAAAATCGTTTAAATGTTTTTTAGTGATTGCTACAAAGGGTTTGTTGAAAACGTTTATTAAAAAAAGTTAAAAATGTTTATCAGATGTTACTCTGAAAGAATTGTGTAAATTTTTATTAGTGATCTATCTGAAAGAGTTGTTAAATCGTTTATCAGTTTAAATTGTTTGAAATACAAAAAGTTTTTAAATTTAAAAATTACTCTTTTGATAATTTTTGATGGTGCATTATGAAGTGTGAGGGGTGAGTGTGATGGTGCATTATGAAGTGTGAGGGGTGAGTGTGATGGTGCATTATGAAGTGTGAGGGGTTAAAACTTCTTTTGAATCCCTTTATGGATGAACTACTGTCCAAAAATAAATAAATAAGCATTAATTTATTGTAATTTAAATCTACGAGAAAATATTTTTTGATTATATTATTTTTATTATCTGTCGATGTCAAGGTTTCTAGTGTTTTTTTTTTAATATATTTAACACTAAAAAGTAATCTGTATTTGGATAGCACTAGATAATTTAATAACTTGTAAACAGCTGTTGCAAGTTTCAGGAAAGTCTAGAGAGTTCTAGTTTCTAAAATATAGTCTGACGAATTATGGAAGGTTCCATCGTTTTATGTTTGATGCTGTAACGATTATAGCAGTAACGAATAGTATGCTATTTAGGTACAGTTAACTTGAATTTATTAGCAGTGGTAGGCTTAAAAGGATTGCGTTAAAAGAATTAGCAAATACTCTCGTTAGTCCTTACAGTCATAAATGCGACTTTTCTTAAGTGCAAGGCAGTTGCAAAAGCTAGTATAAGTGCGAATTTTCAAATATGTGTTTGGAAATTTTTTTGGCCAAATTATGCCAGTTTGCGGCTATGCTATTTTTTGCAACTGTTTTGTACTTATACTAGTTCATTGTAATGAACTAGTAATGAACATTGTAATGAACTGATTAAGCAGCTGCCCCTATTAACAAACTCCGGATCTAAACCAAATCCTACGGCGCACTAAGCCTTACTAATCGGATAAATGATTTTATCTACATTCCCAAAAGATTTTTCTAATGTTAACTTTTTAAATATTTTTTTTAATTAGGTCTGTAGTTCCTAATTAAAAAAGAGGAGGATTTTAAGGACCGGTGTAGTGGGAAATCAGATAGCGGATCCCAGGAAATTAAGACTTCGAAATCTTGTTTTTGTCATAGTTTCCCGGGAAATTATGATTGGAGCGGTAAATTAAGGCCCCTAAAAATATGACTTACAAGTTGCAAAGAAAATACATAAAAAAGTCATTCTATAGTAAATCAAAGTCGATTTGAGCGCAAATGCGTGTGAAAGTAAAACGTTATGTAAATTTTTACTTGAAATTTCTTGAAAACATGATTATGGATGTAAATCTGGTAAATTTGAAGTCCTCAAACTCCTTTTAACATCTGTTAAAAAACTTTGAGGCACTTAATTTTTATCAATAAAGATAATGCGATCCAAACGCTGAAACATCGTAAAATATTGTGGGAAGAAGTAAAGGTATAAGACCCTCAAAAAAAAAATAATCTTTTTTACAAAAAGCCAAGTATATCCTAAGAAACAACTATTTAAAAGGATTTTAAATAATGCAAAAATAAATTTATTAGTTGCCATGATTACCAAGTAAAATAGCAGACATTTAAAAATGTTTAGGCCACCCCGGCCATTCTATCTCAGTAAGCAAAAGTATAAAAAATATGATTTTTTGGCATATGATTCGCAACATAGTAATCTACATACTGAACTAAAATTGTTCTAAAAAACAAAGTATTTAAGCTATACTGAGTTTTTCAAAATGGCGTATTTAAAAAAATGCATTTTTGTGAACTAAATCTTCCGTAAATCAAAAACTCCTAACAGTATTGTAAAATTTTTAGTTCCAATTGTACAACTAAATGCAATAAACATTTGGTAAAAATTTCATGCAAATCTGACATACGGTTAATGAGATAGGATGGCCGGGAGGTTAAAATTGACAGTTTAAAAAAAAAGGATTTAAATATTACATTAACAATTTTACCAAATAAAAATACCAAATACTTAACTTAAAATCTATTATTTATAAGAACAAGAACCAGGATCATATAGGCAATCTTATTAGTCATTCTCTGCGTCATCTTTTTTTTTTTTTTTTTTTTGCATCTACGAATAACTTGACGTTGCTTTTTAGATGTTGGTCAATTTTGATACTCTGTGAAAATTAAACGCTTTTTGTTCATGGTTGAACAGTCTTGAAAAGTATATATTCCACGAATCATATTTAGTTTTTCAAATAAAAGTATACTTGCTTTTCTTCCAATATCAAAATTGAAAGAGCATTATATACAGATAACTACAACTGCGTTAACGATACATATTTTGTTTTAGGTATGCGCTGCCATATCATTCCATTAAAACTCATTTTGGTTTTGCGGCTTACCATGAAGGCATTTTTTAAAGAGTTCTTCTTCAGATAGATCAATATATACAGGCTTTAGATGACTGATGACTGATGCTGAAAGACCAACACCTGGCTTGTAAATAGATGTTGAATTAACTTTGTCCTGTTTATAATGACACTATGTATACGATCAGGACAATAAGTATGCCCATTATTTTCAGCTGATGATGTAACATAAAACAATGTTGCAAGTATGGCCTTTTTCATACCTTCTAAATCATTGGTATTTTGCCTAACAGTAATTCCACAGTAGATTTGTAGGTGGTCAATTATATCATTCGCCTTTGCCTCCAATTCCTCTAACAGTTTTTTTTAAAGTTCTTTATTTATTACCGACTATGTTTCTGTACATGTGATGACTCCCAAGCTTCAAATGCATAAGAATTATTTTCTTTAAGTTTTAATTTTAGACTACATGCTTTGCATGTTCGACTCATTGGCTCGTTATTAAGTATTTTACATGTGTCCATTGATATTGCTGTAACAACTCCATTTTGTGAAGAAAACCCACAACGTTGCCAGCTATCATCAACTGAAATTGCAGTGTCAACAATATTGAAGATTGAAAATTTTCTTCACAGCATCAGTCATTGTTTCCTTTGCAAAAAATTTAGCACAATCAGAGGCATATTGAATAATTTTGTTGTAATTATTTTTAATCATAGGATTAGAAATGTTCATTAAAGATGTAAGATTTTTAATCCTGAAAAACCTTGACCAAATGCACACATTAATTAAACTATTCTATTATTTTCATCAAAAGTTTTTTTACCCAGAACATGTCTTTGAAGTATGAAATTCAATTTTTTCATTGCAGTTAGAAAAGCAAATATTTAACACTGAGCTGATTTTTTTTTTTGGAAAAACTTTCTGAAAGATTTAATTTTGATTGTAAACATTTTTTGCAACTTTTTGATTAATTACATCAGACAAAAGTCAATATCAACAATTCGATAACCAACAGTTTTAGTTTAATTATGCTGAGCTGTCTCAATTTATTCATACTTCTTTTGAGGATATAGATAAATTTGAAGGAGAAGAATGATCATTTTCATAACTAATAACAAGAGCAACTGATAAAGTTAAATCGATTGGCAAAGTTTTAGTGTATCTATTTCCATGAAATTTTTCTGGATTTTTTTACTTTGAGTACTTCGTTTGACTCTACATGATTTACCCATTGTTAAAAAAGTTCATTAAATAACAAAAAAACAACAAAATAGCTTGCAATTCTGATCAAAAACCTGTTGCTATACGTGTTGCTAGGCAGATCAAATTTACCCAGTTAAAGAAATTGACTTATATCTCAAGAACTAAATCTTACTTTGAGAAATGGTTTTCAAAATCAAGTTCAACGATAAATTTCGTGTCAGAATTACACTAAGGGGTCCTAAACCTTCTGAGGCAAGTGCGCAACCCCAACCAACGATAAATTTCGTGTCAGAATTACACTAAGGGGTCCTTTGTTTCTGAGGCAAGTGCGCCATTTTCCATTGACATCAGTTCCAAACTGGCACATAAAATTCCTAATACCAAAGTTGTGTTTATTAACTTTTTAACATCAATGGATGATTGCATTTGCCCCAACCATTCTTCTAAGCTATCATTTGAGGAGTTTCAAGTATCGTTTAAATCTATTAAAAAAAACAAAGCCCCTGAAGTTGATGAAATAAATAGAAACATAGTTTTAGAATGCTTTCAACAACTATAAGATATTCTCTTTAAAGTTTTCAAAGCATTAATACAACAAGGAGTTTTTCCAGATCAGTTAAAAATAGCTTAGATAACTCCAATATTCAAAGAAGGAGACAGATCTAATATATAACTTCCGACCTATCTCTATTTTATCAACATTTTCAAAAATCTTAGAACAAATTATTTACAATAGCTTATATAATTATTTTAAGGAGAAGATTTTTTTTCATATAAATCAGTTTGGTATTAAAAAACATAGTTCTACTGAGCATGAAATCAACCAATTTGTCCTAAAATCTCTAACTCTTTCAAAAAATTTTAACTCACATAGGTATTTTTTTAGATTTATCAAAAGCATTTGATTCAGTAAATCGTGGCGATTTGATTCATAAACTTAATAATTATGGAGTAAATGGCGTAATTTTAAATTGGTTTAAAAGTTATTTAACAAACTGAAAACAATTTTTTTTTTAACGATCCTTATCAAAAAAATGTTATAGATATTTCATGCGGTGTTTCGCAAGGATCAATTTTGAAGCTACTTCTTTTTTTAATTTACATTTATGATTTACATAAAGTTTTAATTTAATCTTTTAAGTATTATGTTTGCGGATGATACTAACTTATTTTTATCTGATAACAATATTAATAAACTATTTACTACTATAAATGAAGAACTCAAAAATAATTATACCTGATTCAAATGCAATAAACTTACCCTAAATATTAAAAGAACAAAATGGATTCTTTTTCATTCAAAAACTAAAAAAACTTTATTTACCCCCAGCTCTATCTGATATTTTTATTGGCCAGATTGAAATAAAAGAAGAGATTGCGTCACAAAATCAATAGGTGTATTCCTTGATGAGAACATCACAAAGAAGCAACATATTGATTATGTTTGTACTATAGTTTCCAAAAAGTATTGAGATTCTTTATGAGTCCAGAGCTTATATAATTTAAAAAGTTTTATCCCAACTTTATTATGCATTCATTCATAGCTATATGAATTATGCAAATATTGCTTATGCAAGCACTTAAAAAAGTTACAATATTTTTATCGCCGTCAGAAACTTGAAATACGCGTAATTAATTTTGTTGATCGTTTTTCTCCCTCTAAACCAAGCTTGTGGAGCTGACTGTTTTTTTTACGGCTCGGCTCCGACTACTAAGAAATATCCGGCTCGGCTCCCGGCTCGGCTTCCGAACTTTACAAAGAAAAATCGCAAGTTTTCGAATATTTTTTTTTTATCACATCTGCAAGCTCAA